ATATACAATACAGAGAAAATGTGTAAAGATAAACAAGTGGTATTAAAGGGAACACTAGTGATGAAAGACTAGGGGAAAAGGTAGTATAAAAGTGTTTTTACACTAGGTTATATGTATATATATTTAAACAAGTGAATGATAAGGCGCTCGTAATACCGGTCTAAAAACAATGAATAAAAATGAATATATCACCACAATAATATACACAAAGAAGCTACACCAAACTAAGTGTAAAGCTCTAAAAAACACTTTAAATGATACTACATACAAATATATAAGGTGCGCTGTATCTTTAAGACAAAATTTGCAAAGTGCCACAAGTGCAATATATTATAATAGATTGTAAAGTGCAAAGTGAAATAAAGTGCACTTAGTGAATATGGTGATAAGACCAAAATTATTGGCTTATACTTACATGACTGGGTCTTCTCCAAATATTAAAACATGTAGGGGAGTGACATAAAAAGAACAAATAGTGTAGCACTGTTAAAAAACTAGAATCTTATATAGTGAAATGAAATGTACACTCATAAATATAGAGCAGAGAAAGCCTGCTCTAACTGTAACAGACCCTTAATAATTCCCTCTTGGGACAGAGACGGCACGAAACGTATCCACTTTCACAATATTTATTGCACGGATCAATACAGCATCTCCTTCTCCCTCCGTATGCAGCAGGTAAACAATGTAAAAAATGCAGATAACAGGGGCTCGACTAAATCCTCTGCATTCAGCTGGTCCTGCAGCGAGCTGAGACTTCCAGGGGGTGGAGTTACCAAAGGTGCGTAGTGCGTGTGTAATGCGTGGTGCGTAGCGTTCTCAACGTGATGACGCGTTTCGCCATATTCACGGCTTCATCAGATCTGTCCGCTTACGTCTCATCAAGTCTTTTATACAAACCCACATGGGTGTGTCCAAAATGAAATGCAAAAGTCTTATTACTGATAGTCCTTTTCTATCATATCCCATATTGGTATAAATAATACAATCTTCAACTTTATTCAAATATCCTAATAAAACCATCATTTCAAAAGACATCCTATGACTTTATTCAAAATATGATTCGAAAATCATAAAAAAAAAATCATAAATAAAAACTGCAACCATTAATATATGACACTATATCAAACCCAGAACATGCTCATACCTCTAATAAAAATCTATTATCTATAAATTTAATTTAAATAAAATACAGTAATCCTTAAAGGAACATTAAATTATGAACCCAAAATAAAATACTGTGTAAAAGAAAAAGAATGCTGCAAAAAAACAAAAAAAAAAACCTACTTGGAGAAAAGAGGTTAAAGAACAAGGTTATGTAACACATAATTCATACAAAAAAAATCAAATAAATTACATTTTTTTTTAAATCATGGCGAGGAGGTAACCATATTATTGATATAGGTAGAAAGGAGATGCAATGGGTCCATAGATTAAAAACTTTAGAACCGAGGGGACTCAATTTTGCGTTTGATTGATTTAATTTTATAGAATAGGTTTTAGGTATGTTTTATGGTATTTTTAGTTTCTGTATGATGATTTTAGGTATACAACCGGATTTTTTTTTTTTTTTTGTATGAACTGATCCCAAGGAAACCTCTTACTTACAGTTTTTAGACAAGCTAATATATATATTTTTAAAAATCAATTAGCCCCAAGTGCCCTACCGAAAATCTGCAATAAAATAAAACCAGGACATCAAATAAATGAATTATTAGAGAAACCAAAAGGCTTCTTTAAATGTGGCAACTGCTATACCTGCAATACCAAACAAGAATGTCAGATAATTTTGAAAGTTTTGTCACAAAAGAAACCTTTCAAATTAAACATTTTATAAACTGAAAAAGTAAAAATGTTATCTATTTATTACAATGTAAATGTGGGATACAATACAATGGTAGAACGGGAAGAACTTGACTCGAAAGACTTTTAGAACACTTTTCCAATATTGGAAAAAATAGTCTTAAACATAGTGTACACAGACATTAACTTTCAAACCTTTACATGTATAGCTATATGTAATAAGTGGGGGGACTGATTAACAGCCAAACTGTATGCCAATGATATCCGTTAGATATTTTAGCTACATGTACATCTCTAAGTATAAATCAACAAAGAAGTTAATCATTAATAAGGCTCATCTCAAGATCTTTCGATCTATATAAGCACAGACTGAAACACAAATTATAACGAAGAGGATAAGAAGAGGTTTAAATGACTGAATGAAATAAATGAATATTTAAAACAGATACTGACGAAATTAAATGACAAAAAATGTTATTCCTTGCTTAAGCAGTGCTTTCTCCATCATTGAGACTCCACATTAATAAGGATATTCATTATGAAAATTAACTTCAAAATTAACTCCAGACGATATAATTAAATCTAATGGAAGATTCACTGCACCATATGTACAACAAAGGGTTAAACAGCTACCTGATAGAATAATAACTAACCCAATTACATATGACCGTCAAGGTCAGTACCAAAACTATCATTATTGGCTGGTTAAGAGGGGCTGTCCTACAATCAAGTAAAGAAACCTGAAAACGCTTAATCACAACTAGAGTTGAGCGAACACGAACATTACGGTTTTTGGACCACAGACCTGAACACGGACATTTCACTGTGTGTTCGGATTGGAGTTCGGTGTTCGGCGATTTAATGGCGCGTTTTAAAAGGCTGCAGGGCAGCCAATCAAGAAGCATTTGACTCGTGTGCCCTGAGAAGCCATCACAGCCATGCCTACTAATGGCATGGCTGTGATTGGCCAGTGCAACATGTGAGCTATCTACCAAAAGGCTGAAAGACCTAAATTGGTCTTTCAGCCACATTTACGAATACTAAGTTAAAATGACATAGTATTAGTAAATTCAGCCCCTACTTGCTCATACCACAAGTAGGGGCATGTCTAGTAAACAGTGAGCTGCCAGTGGCTGCTCACTGTAAAAAAAATAAAAACCTATTAGCTCCTAACCCTGAATGGCAGGTGGGGGCCCTGAAGTAAAATAATGGGAGGGGGGACCTATTGTCCTCCCCCCCGGGCCCCACTCCTGAGCGGTGGGTGGGGGCCCTAAAGTAAAATAAGGGGGGGGACCTATGGTTCTCCCCCCGGCCCCCACCACTGCGTGGTGGGTGGGGGCCCTAAATAAGATTTAGTGGGGGACCTACTGTCCTCTGCCCGGCCCCCACCCCTCAGCGGTGGGTAGGGGCCCTAACTAACAATGGGGGGGACCTACTGTCCTCCCCCCGGCCCCTACCCTTGCGCGGCGGGTGGGGGCCCTAAATAACAATGAAGGGGGACCTATGGTCCTCCCCCCCGGCCCCCAGCCCTGCGCAGCGGGTGGGGGCCCTAAATAACACTGGGGGAACCTACTGACCTCCCCCCAGGCCCCCACCCCTGCGTGGCGGGTGGAGGCCCTAAATAACAATGAGGGGGGGACCTATTGTCCTCCCCCCGGCCTCCACCCCTGCCCGGCGGGTGGGGGCCCTAAATAACAATGAGGGGGGAGACCTACTGTCCTCCTCCCCCTGCCCCCACCCCTGAGCAATGGGTAGGGGCCCTAAATTTAGAATAAGTGGGGGACCTACTGTCCTCCCGCCCCCACCCCTGTGCGGCGGGTGGGGGCCCTAAATAACAATGAGGGGGGGGCTACTGTCCTCCCACCCCCACGCCTGAGCGGTGGGTGGGGGCCCTAAATTTAGAATAAGAGGGGGGACCTATTATCTCCCCCCCCCCTAAATAAAAATTTTACCCCCCCCATTTGAGGTCTTCTTTCTTCTAAAATCTTCTTTTTTCAGCCCCAAAAAATGCCAAATAAAAATCCATAATTACCAACGTACTTTAAAAAAAAAAAAAAAAAACGAGCGAAAAAACTAAATTCCATCTTTACTTGTAGGGTTCCACAGAGACTGAGCTCTGCAGGGCCTAAATCTTATTTAGGGCCTTTATCTTATTTTTTTTTTAAAGTTTACTAGACATGCCCCTACTCGCGGTATAGCGAGTAGGGGCTGAATTTACTAAAACTAAGTAATCTTTACTAGTATTAGTAAATGTGGCTAAAATACCAATTTAGGTCTTTCAGCCTTTTGGTAGATAGCTCCCTAATAACGTGGGAATTAGGGAGTTATCTACTAAGCAACTACTTATTTTATATTATTTTAAGTGATTTCCCTATCCACATTTCTTTGCAGGGCACTTGTCCTACTCTTACCCCTCTAGTCCTCCAGCGCCTTTCCCGGACTTTTTTAGAGGCATTTTAGTGGCATTTTTATATTGACTTCAATAGGGTTCGGGGTCAAGTTCAGGTCAAGTTCGAGCCCCAACTCGAACGTTTTGACGAAGTTCGGCCGAACTCAGCGAACCCAAACATCCAGGTGTCCTCTAATTACAACCACATAGCACCATTGGATTGGTTGCCCCACATGGGGCTAAAAGTTTAAAAATTGATACAGAGCCAGTGTATATTTTACCCCTGACGAAGGTGCCCACGCAGTGCACTAAAACGCGTGTCAGGCAACTTTCCACTCACAGGGCACACATTATCACGTTGGTGCATTATACCATGCACATCTTAGCATGGTATAATTTTTATAGCACTTCATTTCACCTTTCTCTTTTCTACCTCTGACTGTCTAGAAAGATTAACAGGGAGAACGGCTTTATCGTATCTCTATGCTGCATAACCTTTAAGCTAGTCTTTTAAGTGCTGTTTAGAGACATTACTGTACCAAGATATATTTACCTAGTACACCCTGTTCCAAATTATTATGCAAATTATATTTTTCTCATTTACATAAATAATTGATGTAAATAACAGTCAGCATAATTCTCATGTTATCAACTGTTAAGAGTACAATTCAAATTTTATTGAACAAACCTCCTAATGATAACAGTATTTTTTTTTAAACATAAAACTTACAATGCAGTGTTCCAAATTATTACGCACAGTAAGTTTCAAAACACTTTATAGGTTGTAAAGAACTGAAAATTGTTATTTGTTGTGTTTGCAGCATATTTACTGAAATCAAAAGCTATTTCAATCAAATTTATAACAACATTTTAACTTTTTAAACATTTTAACAGGTCATGTTACATTTTAACATAGGACCCCTTATTTGATTGCAGCTTCACAAGTCTTGCATCCTTGAACTTGTGAGTTTTTGGACAGTTTCTGCTTGAATTTGTTTGCAAGATGTCAGAGCTGCTGTTTGGATGTAAACGGCCTGCCACCCTCATCTTTTGCTTGAGGATACTCCAAAGGTTCTCAATAGGATTGAGGTCAGGGGAGGATGGAGACCACACCATGACTTTCTCTCCTTTTATCCCCATAGCAGCCATTGATGCAGAGGTATTCTTTGCAGCATGAGATGGTGCATTGTCATGCTTGAAGATGAATTTATTACGGAAAGCATAGTTCTTCCTTCTGTACCAGGGAAGAAAGTGGTTTGTCAGAAACTCCACATACTTTGCAGAGGCCATCTTTACACCTTCGGGAACCCTAAAGGGGCTGGCCAGCGCTCTCCCATGATTACGGCCCAAAACATGACTCCACCATCGCCTTGCTGACATTGCAGCCTTGTTGGAACAGGTTGGCCGTCTACCAACCATCCACTACTGCATCCATCTGGACCATCCAGGGTTGCACGGCACTCATCAGTGAACAGTACGGTTTGAAAATTAGTCTTCATGTATTTTTCTGCCCAATGCAGCCGTTTCTGCTTGTGAGCATTGGTTAGTGGTGGCTGAATGCACAGATGCAAGACTCTGGAGGACTCTACACCTTGATGTCCGTGAGACTCCAGAGGCACCAGCAGCTTCAAATATCTGTTTGATGCTATGCAATAGTATTTTAGCAGCTGCTCTCTTGATCCGATGCATGGATCTGGCAGAAATCTTCCTCAATGTGCCTTTATCTGCACGAACCCGTCTGTGCTCTGAATCAGCCACAAATCTTTTAATAGTGCGATGATCACGCTTATGTTTTCGTGAAATATCTAATGTTTTCATACCTCGTCCAAGGCATTGAACTATTTCACTCTTATCGGCAACAGAGAGATCCTTTTTCTTCCCCATATTTCATGAAAATGGTGCTCTGCTTAATAATGTGGAACACAGTCCTTTAGTAGTTTTTCCTTAAAATGGGCTCACCTGGCAATCTAATTATCACAGGTGACTGAGATTGTTTTCAGTGATCAAAAGAGCCCTGTAACGGCTACCCCAGCTACCCCAGTATCAGCCGTTGGAGACATCCTTCTTCCTGGCAAGATGCTGTGATGTAGTGGAGTTGCGTTTTCCCATCAAGTAGAGAGTAAAGCAGAGCTCTTAAAAGAGCTAGTGATTATGCTGAGCAGGTTCCCTTTCAATAATGAGACAAGGCTAAGTTTTGAAGGGTTAAGCAGAACTGATTTAATGATCACAAAGCAGCTGCTTTTATGCAGGTTCTTACAGGAATGTTAACACCCACTGGACCTTGTGGGGCACTGATAATAGGAATACAACAGCCAATCAGTTAAGATTGTACAGTAAAAGCAAAGCCATTAATTACAGTACATTCCTCCCCTCTGCTTAGGAGATAATTGAGTTAGCTTAATTATCTCCAAGCTAAAAAATATACTTTCCTGCATTTTTCATAACTTTAAAACTATACATAGGATATTAATAAAAGTTACATTTTAATAAACAATCCATTCAGGGGAACAACATATCCAAAAATGACACGAATTGGACCAGTGGTTCGGGAGTTAGTAAAAAGGTGGATGTGACCGACCGCGCGCACATTTCTCTACCCCAAATAGTTCCACAATTTCACAATGTGGTCGGTCTATCTTCCCGTTGTAATAGATGTAAAATGCATGAATGGAACTGTTCGTGCCTACCATCATTGGATGCAGATTGTTCGTATGAAGAAACCCACAAATTAGTGCTTTATTCGTATGTTTTTATTCGAACGCACTGAAGGTAGAAGTTCAGCGGTGTTCGTGGAAAAAGTTAGCCGAAATCAGTTCCACAAGGTTGGCGACCAAACACTGCTGAGTGCGTTCGACTAAACAAAATGGCCGCTGCCACGTGTTCGCACAAACGAACGCCGACCACCCTATTAAACCATTAGAATGTTAAGGTGTTTGCGGTTTGTACAGGTCAAGAGGGTTAATTGGTTCCACACTCCTGCTCTTGGTGGTCGGTCGTTCAATAGAATATTCGGTAAAACGAATGATTATGGCCAAATGCACGATTGATCCATTTTGGTGAAGGCAAACAAACAAATAGTCTCTGTTCTCAGTTCCATGCAGCAAATATATGGCTTAAACAGGGGTTTTGTTACATGGCTCCCCTTTGTGGAACACCCCGTCAGACCTGGCTTGATCCTTTTCAGGTCAGCTTCGGGATGTCTGGGCTGCTATGAGGGTATAAGTTCAGTTTGCCTGGATAGTCCATCTGCATTGCCATTGAGCTTGCCAGGTCGATACTGGATGGAAAAGTTATAGGGTTAGAGGGCAAAGCTCCATTGCAGCAACCGGTCATTATCTCCTGCCACTCTGTTCAACCAAACAAGGGGATTGTGGTCCGTAACGAGTAAATTCCTGGTCATATAAATACGGGGTGAGTTTCTTTAGAGCCCAGACCAGGGCCAGGCACTCTTTCTCCACTGCCGCATAGCTCACCTCCCTGGGTAACAATTCTCTGCTAAGGTACGTGACAGGGTACTCCCCTCCATCTTCCCTGATCTGGCTCAGAACTGCCCCCAGTCCGTACATGGAAGCATCTGTATGGACAACAAATCGTTTGTTAGGGACAGGGGCAGATAATACAGGGGCGTTGATTAGAGCTTTCTTTAAGGCTTGGAAGGCTACTTAACAGGAAGGAGACCACAGGACTACTCTGGAGAGGTTCTTTTTTGTTAAATCCATCAGGGGCTTAGCAATGGCGGTATAGTCAGGGACAAATTTCCTGTAATACCCAGCTGTCCCTAGAAAAAGCCAGTACCTGGGTCTTGGTGTGGGGTGTGGGCCAACTGGCCATGGCCTCGACCTTGGCCGACTCGGGACGCTGCTTCCCACACCCTACCCGGTGTCCCGAGTACTGGACTTCGGCCATGCCCAAGTGGCACTTTTCTGGAATCAGAGTCAGGCCTGCGGCCTGAATCTAGTTCAGTACAGTCTCTACATGCTTCAAGTGCTCTCCCTATGTCTCACAATAGATCCCAATGTCATCCAGGTATGCACAAGCAAAATCCTGGAAGCCATCAAGGAGCCTATCCACCAAGCATTGGAACGTGGCTGAGGCATTCTTCATCCCAAATGGCATGACCCTAAATTGGTACAGGCCAAATGGGGTGACAAGTGCCAACTTGGGGATAGCCTCCTTGGCCAGGGGGATCTGCCAGTAGCCCTTGCACAGATTGATAGTGGTCAGAAAGCATCCCCTGGCAATGGGATCTAATAGCTCATCCACTCGGGGCATTGGGTAAGCATCGGTCTCTTTACGGTCATTGAGGCGTCTATAGTCGACACAGAACCATGTGGTTCCGTCCTTTTTGGGAACCAAAATGACTGGAGAGGCCCAGGGGCTGTCAGATGGCTCTATGACTCCTAACTTAAGCATCTCCTGTATTTCTTTCCTCATCCCCTCCTTAACTGCCTCGGGATTCGGTAGGGGGGTTGTCTGAGGGGCGCTTGCCCAGGGGTCTCTACATGGTGAGTCGCTAGGGTAGTGTACCATGGCTCTTGGGAGAAAGTTAATTCCTTTTCAGCTAGCAGCTGTCTAAGTTGGCCCTTTTCTGCGGGGTTTAATCACTCCCCTAAGTGAACAGTACTGAGCAGACTACCTGGCGCCGGGCGAGCTAGGACGTCGGGGATAGGCAGACTGTCAGCGTCTTCTGTTGCGGGGATACATATGGCCGCAATATTCTCTGGCCTCTCCTGATACTCTTTTAGTAGGTTAACATGGAAGGATTTCTGAATCCTTTCATCTCTATCACTGGCAATCACATAGGTGGTGTCGCAGGTTTGTGCCACCACCTTGTAAGGGCCTTGCCAGGAGGCCTGTAGCTTATTTACTTTGACTGATCTAAGCACCAGGACCTTCTGTCCCACCTGGAACAACCTCTGGCGGGTGCCCCGGTCATACCATCATTTCTGTCGGCCCTGGGCCACATGGAGGTGGTCTCTTGCCATCAGGGCCAACTGTTCCATGCGGTCCCGCATCTCCAGAACATATGGCACAATGTTCCATCTCCCCCTCTTAGTGCTCACGGAGGGGCACCTCTCGATATGCAAACAAGAGGTGCGGCAGAAATCGCTCCCAGTCTCTGTACTCGTCTGTGAAGGTCAGCAGCAACTGTTTTAGGGTACCATTAAAACGCTCACAGAGACCGTTAATCTGGGGGTGGTATGGCGAGCTGAGTAGGGGTTTGATACCACAGACCTTCCATAACTGTTGGGTTAGGTCTGCGGTAAACTGAGTCCCCCTGTCAGACAGTATTTCCTTCGGGAACCCCACTATGGTGAAGATCCCGACCAAGGCACTGGCGACAGTGTCAGCCTGGATATTCGTCAGATGGACGGCCTCCGGATAGCGGGTAATGTAGTCCACCATGGTAAGAATGTACTTCTTACCGGATGGACTGGGGTTAGGTAGGTGTCCCACTAGGTCGACTGCCACCCTGCTAAATGGTTCATCGATCATCGGCATGGGTAACAGTCGGGCCTTAGGGTGGTCCCCTCTTTTCCCTACTCGCTGGCAGACATCACACGTGCTGCAGTAACGTCGCACATCCTTCGAGATCCCCGGCCAAAAGAAGGTCTGGGTAATCCTGTAAGTTGTGCAGTTACCACCCAGGTTTCCTGCCAAGGGGATATCATGTCTGATTCAGAGAAGCTCCAACCGGTACTTCCTGGGTACTACTAGTTGGCGCTTCTGCTCATCAACCCCCAGTCTCTGCTTTCTCCCGGTACTTTTGGAGGGATCCTCTCTGGTTTCCCTCCCAAACTCCTCTGGGGTATCCCAAGCTAAGTGTATATTAACTACAGTCGGGGGAAGGGTCGGTGGTGTGCTACCTGGGTCTACCGTCCTGGTGTAGGGTCCTCGGCAACACGGGTCTGCGATCTAGTGGTCACTGGGCAAGCAGTAGCAGTGCTGGTGGGTAAATAGGCAGAAGCCAAGGGGTCCATATCGTTGCCCAGAAAGACTTCTGCAGGCAAATTATCCATAATCCCTACAGTGGTTTTTCCAGATCCGACTCCCCAGTCTAGGTGTACTCTGGCAGTAGGGAGGCGGAAGACAGCTCCTCCAGCAACACGAACAGCAACGGTGTGGCTGGACAGATGCTCTGGTTTGACCAAATGTCGTTGCACCAGAGTGATGGTAGTGCCTGTGTCCCTCAGGCCTTGGGCTACCTGGCCATTCACCCGAACCTCTTGGCGGTGTTGCTGACGGTTGTCTGGGGATGCAGCTTGCACCGGATCAGCCTCATATAGGATGCCCAGGCATTCCTCAGTGCCCAGCTCAGTCTCCATGCAATGGTCTGAGGGGTTGCAGTTTCAGCGGTGGGTGAGGGACGCCTCCAGTTGGTAGCAGAGCATCCCAAGGGGGAGTATCTGGCAATATGCCCGGTGTTGTGCAGATGAATTGCTGAGATGTATCCAGTACTAAAAACAAAGTAAGACTAGAATAGGCACCAAACAAGAAAACAAGACAAAACTAGTAGGACCCAGAACCAGAGAAGGATAGAAAGCAAAACCTAGAACATGTACACAATACATAAGGAAAACAATAACAGAACAGGGGCAGGACAGGACTGTACATGGACTGGGAATACAAAATAAAACAAAACAAGATATATAAGGCAAAACAAGAGGAGACAAAACTAAGTACTATATATGTAAAACATTGGAGATTTAGACATACATAAATGGCCAAGATGTATGCGCCAAAGTACTTACCTGCAAGAAAGGGGCAAAGGACTTGGAGCAACTCCTTGCAGGAACCAACTGAAACAAAAGGATTAATGGAAAAGGAAAGGGTGTGGCAACATAAAACAAACATTTAAAGGAATCCACGAGACTGGGTATTCCAGGAATGAACCCAGAAAAGTACTGGATACCAGAAGCCATGGTCAGACATCTTAACAGGACAGAGCAGGTCCTGACATAACTCCCCTCTTAAGGAGCCACCTCTGTTCGCAACAACCAGCTCTCCTGCAAAGACAAGGAAAGGAACGAGGATCCAGCGGCTAAGACTTAAAGACTTAGAATAGCAAAGAATCCCAATCTCTAGCCTTGATAATCAGGAGTGGAGTACATGGCTCACAATGCCTTCTAGAAGCACTCTACTTCAGAGAGGTCTCTAGCAAATGAACCACCAGCCAGGAAAGAAGATCAACTCAAGAACAGGAGCATTGCCTGGAAACAGAATCCGGAACACAGCATCTCAAGAAGTCAGTTGTAGAGAACAAGCCGCTTAGCAGATAAACCTCATCCAGAGCAGGTATCAGAAAAAATAAAACAGAAAATGAGGAAGTCATCTACAGCAAACAGGTCCAGATACAGGATCTAATGAAAGCAGAATTCCCAGGCAGAACAGACACACGTAATCATAGAAACATTGGGCATAACAGTTTTAGACCAATGTAAATTATACAAAGGGGCTTGTTCCTCAGGTACAGAGTTATCTGCTAAGAACTGATGCTCCTTCTTGATCTCTTACAGATTTTTCCAAAAGTACCAAAATGGTAAAGATTTCACTCAACATTATGATACTCACCTGGGTCTTGATGGAACAGCTTGTCACAGGCCAAACCAACACCAGTTCCATATATGCAACTACAGATCTATCCACCAAAGACTTTACGGACAACTTAACAAAAAGTGGTTCTCAATGAAATACTACTCCTTTAAGCAGGCTACATGCACATGATATATCTGGATGGACTAGGATTTAGAGCAGTGACAATCTACAAGTTCCGTGTGTAGATGTGGCATTTGATTTTAGGTGGGTGGTCAAGATTGGTTGGCTAAAACAACGTGATTCTATCAAGGCATTTTAAAAAAAAAGAAAAAAGACAAAGGAAATTAAGAACATTGGGAACGTATATGGACTGGTTGAGGAAAATTAGTTGCATATCTGGAGGGAGAAAATATTAATATAAAATATTATTTGATGTAATAGTGCAACATAGAACAGTGATGTTTGTTACCTTTTGTTACAGTTTCAGGGCTGCACCCTGATTATTTAAAGACACATACTTTTAGAGCGCCGGCCGAACACTGTTGAGAACCCTGGTTTGCAGACATATATAGATATATACCGTATGGTGTAGCTTACGAACGTGTTGTCAGATGTATATATCAATCCATACATACTAATTCATATTGATCAGGCTACACAGGCTGCACCATTCGTTTTTGAGTATTCACCATTATCTTTTATCTCTCTATTTATTATAAGTGGCATCTGTATACTCTCTTCCCCCTCTCTTTTTGCGCAGACGTGCGCTATTATTAGGTTTATGCACATGTACTTAGAAATCAGAGCCTATCTTATTATACATACACCAATATTCTGTGTTACGTTCATTTTTGAACACCTTACCTTTCTTTGTTATTAATGACTTACTGTTTAATAAACTTGTTTTTTGGACCCTGTGGTCCTTTTAGACGAGCCTGTATTTTTATACCTTTGATATAGAAGGTCCAGGCTCTAACTAGTCCTCTCCCTACCTCAAAGGTACACGTTTTTCCTGTTTTGTATCTATTTTCACTAGGGGTTACCCCCCTTTCTCTGTGTACCTTGGCTGTATTTAAGACAAGTAACCCTATATATAGTTCTAACAGAAAGAGAGTATCATATAATACAGATTATAGTGGATACATTTAATTAAAATTTAATAAATTGGAAGAAAAAAATAGGACAAAACAAGGGTGGGAAAGCGAAGGTCTTGTTGAATGTGGAGGAAGAGATAGAGCCTACAATGCTGGTTCCTCCTTTCACATATATCCATACAATTCCTTCACTAATGGATAATGGGAGCAGACCTGAGTGTTAGGAGATTAGAGTGATCTCTAGTGGTCATTTACAAAACCGTTAATTAAGACCTACCCCTAATATCAGGAATGTTACTTTCCAGTTGATTAAACTAACAGATTGGCTAGTTTATCACACTTTCAGAACTGTTCTAGGGTCACATCCACTATTGGAAAGGCTTTAGTCAGATGGGTGACAAGAAGCAGGACTAGGAATAGGAGGGTTGTCTTGGGTAAGGTTTTGGGAGATGTGGGCACTGAGTTGGGTTTTGTAAATACAATTGGTGTTATCCCACACTCAAAACATAACAAACACATATGTGCATATATACTTATAACCTGCAAATATACACTGATGATTTGTGTGAGAGGGGAACAAAAGAAGCACTCCCAGTGCAATAAAGTTATTAAAATCCTATAAAAGACTAAAACCCTCTGTAAGAATAAAACTCACAAGTTGGGAGTGGTATGAGCCCCACTCCAAGCAATATCGCTCAGGGAGGATTAGTCCCTAGAGTACGTGGGATCCAAATAGATGCTCTGACTAGCATCATCAGGAAAAATTAACTTTAATTGGTATTTACATTAAAAAAAAACAAGCTTCTGCAGCAAGTAAAAACAAGGTGCACCATCTGCTCACTAAACCCTAGGGAGTGAAGTGCAGTGAAGCAGCAACCGACATCTTCCTCCCTCTGGTTGTAATAGTTCTTGCCGGTGTACAAGCTGTAACCACTTCCGTGTTCCTGGTCCGGTGGTCCCATGACGCGTTTCGCCCCTGGGGCTTTCTCAAACGAGCAGTATGTCCTTCCACTGGTTCTTTCAGCCGTTATCCAATCGGCTTTGTAACCTCATTATACAGAGGCATTGTTCATAATAGTAATACATAATTTTTAATACATAAAAATAATATATTTAATAAGGCAAAATAATATGTATATGCACAGAGAGAGATGTCTTCAAAGTAAACAAATACATACATATAAAATACGAAATATGGATATAAAAAAAATTGATTTCCACAGCATTCATGTGTGTATATTTCTCCAAATAAAACCATATTATAAGTATTACATACAAAATACTATATACTATATAAAAGATCTATTTTCTTATAGAAGAAATAGGCACATAAATCATGTTCCCAAAAAGTATTTTGGAAAAAGGGGAATATCGCCTAACAAAATTTCTAGAAAATATTTCCATTATAATAAGCCAATACATTTTTTTTTTTTAAATTGTTAAAAAAAAATACAGTCTATAGTAAAATGATATGCATATGCTAAAATACAATATAATAAGAAAAACATGTACAAATATCCAGTTATCTGAATTGGAGGTGTAGCAAAGAAACTGTTTAATATATAGACATAAAAACAAGGGGGTGGGGGGATTATAGAATGTAACAGTCACCTGGAAATTTATGGAACAGTTTACCAGGAGTTTGAGCCAAGTTGCAGGAGATGGCACAGGAGGAGGCAAAGTCCAAAACACAGTACAGATTAAGGGGAAATCCAAGGGCAGGGTCATATGAGAAGCAGAAGTCAGGGCTGGCAACGGATTAACAAAGTCGGAGTCAAAGATCAAATCAAAATCAAAGATCCGGCAGGAAACACCAAACAGGCAAAATGACCAGATACTAGGTTTCAGGCAGGGCTGGCTTTTACAGCCTGCTAATTAGGTGCAGCTGACCTTAATTGGAAAAGGACTGCAGGTGGATCAGTGCTGCCTAATCCAGGCAAGGAGGTCAGGAAGCAGAAAAATGCAAACAGAAACTGAAGCCCCCTGCTGGATGTCATGGCAAAGAACTTGACTGGAATGCTGGAGCAGTGAGTTAAAACCCAGCCAGGCCTCTTAAAGGGGCAGTAACGCCTTGCTGTCTGCAGGGCTCCAGCTGAGCCATGACAGAGCCCCCCCCCCTCCCACAAGGAACGACTTCTGGGGCAAACAGACATGGCGTTAACTAGTCCAGTTCAGGTTCAGACAGGAAATCCAGGTCTGTATAGGCATCTGAATCATCAGGATCCGACAGGGTTGGAACATTTTGCAGGTTGTTATTCTTTGAGAAGGCAGTGGAGGCAAGGAGGCGAGAAGAGGATGCAGCTCTGGCCTTAAGAGCCTGCTCAAAGACCTTTAGATCTTGCCTGCAGACCACGGTTCCACTGGAGGCAATTACACAGTCTGGGGACAGATCCTCTGTGTTAGAAGCTGAGAATTGAAAGGTAGCCACAGCAGCCTCCTTTTGAGGCTCTGGAACAGGAGCAGGGTTAGCCAGGGCTGTGATGTTGCCATTGGTCTGGTTAGGTGGTCTTTGCGGTGCAGTAGCATGCAGAGTTGAACAAAAAAAGAGGCCATGATGGACTTGTAGGATGGTGACACAGAGTCCCCACATGGCTATGTTTAGGGCGAGGAGGACGTATCGGGCAATAGCTGATGTAGTGGCCTCCCTTGCCACAATAGAAGCAAAGGCCTTTGGTTCTCCTTCTGGCTTTTTCATTTGCCGTGAGACCATGATGCGTTTCGCCCCTGGGGCTTTCTCAAACGAGCAGTATCTCCTCCCACTGGAGATTATCTTTTATTCAAGAGTTCTTTCAGTCATGATCCAATTGGCTTTGTAACCTCATTATACAGAGGAACTGTTCATAATAGTTTTAATACATAAAAATAATTTATTTAAACCTTTATGGAGCAGTGTATTTCATAAGGCAAAATATATATGGAAAAGAATATGTGTATGCACAGAGAGAGACGTCTTCAAAGTAAATAAATACAAAAAACTTTACATTATAATAAGCCAGTCTATAGTAAAATTATATGCATATGCTGCAGCTAACAAAATAGACAGTAAAAAAACATAAAACACAATATAATAATAAAAACACCCACTTTTGAAAAAGAAAATGAGAAATAGTCAAGGATATAGGATGACGCATTGGAATGATTTTCATTTGAATGCATGAGTATCCCTATTGCGTGTAAATCCCTGACAAAACTTCTAAATAAAGGCAAGATATCACAGGTATATGGACGCTATGATTTTTATTTGGGATGGACAAGAGAAAGATTTTAAAGAATTTTTTAATTTTATGAATAACAACACATGGGGTATATACCTCACTGGTAATATCAGTACACAGTCCATCAACTAAGGACACAAACTTTTTTTTTTTTTTTTTTTTAAAGTGGATGTAAATGGGAATGTTACATATAGTAGTGGACATTACTCTCCTTGGCTAAATATACCTAAGGGCCAGCTTCTTAGACTCAAGCGCAATTGCACAGAGGAGACAATGTTTGAAAAACAAGCGCAGGATCTTTTAAATAAGTTTAGAGAAAAACAATATCCTGAGGAAGTTTTAGAAAGAGCCCTTGAAGAAGTGAAAGATGTAAAACAGATAGAACTAATACAAAGGAAGGAACAATATAATTTTATTAAGACACGGAGGCTCCTATTATGCTGCACTCTTTCTTTATTTCCCTCAGCAGCAAAGAAAAAAACTTTATAACATAACCAATAATAACATAACAGTCTCAGGTGTAATCTTCCCAGTAACAGGAACAGCCAATCAGGATCCACTTCTCCAGCATATAGGCTCTGTCAACCAATCCTGTTCCTCTTTCTTTGCTGCTCCCTCAGTTAAGTATATCTGATCCCTCAGGCTCCTTAACTGTGGGATTAGTTTTATATTGTATTAATATTATATTGTATTAATTTTATAGTATTCATTTTATAGTATTCATTTTATATTGTATTACTTTATATTGTACCTTATTACTTTATTACTTGATTACTTTTGTATTGTATTGTGTTATTGTGAGATACATTTTATTGTGACATCCTTCTTTGATGCCTTCTTTATTATTCTAGTCTGCTGAATTTCTGACCCTTGCCCCTTTAAGATTCCTCCGCTGGAGCCGCACCCGGCGCTTTGCGCCCTCCCCCCTCCCTCTGCCGTGACCGACCGCCAGCTGAAGAGCTCACTGAGCTCAGATACCAGCTCCCTGCTCGCGGCGTGCTTGTGCGCGCTGAGCGTTACACATTTCGCCGCGAGCAGGGCTTACCAGGCTTTCGGTTCCCCTGTACCGCTCGCGGCGGCCATTTTCTGGGTTTCCCGCGTGCGGCACGTAGCTCCACCCCCAACTACCGGTCCTCGGAGTTGGGTTGCAGCTACAGTGGCGGTCGGACGGCTCCTTGCCCCCTCCTCACCTGTCTCATTTGCTTGTGATTGTTTTTGTGAGTACTTTGCTTTTTTCTATTAAAGGTATATTCCCCCTTTCTCTCTTTGGGTTACTCAACCCATTTAGGTCAGCTCAGTTCATTTATTTAAAGGGCCAGTGTTATACATAATATGCCTGGGGACAAAGATGTACCCTCCTCTGGGTCTCTTATCAATAATTTGGGGTCTGTTAAAACACCCCCAGGGGTACCTGAGATTGGGGCAACTATCCCCGCTGATTTTGATACTACTGCTGATATGCAGCTTATGTTTGACAACACCATGTCACATGTGGTGACTAAGGCCCTCACATCAGCAATGGGACTGATGTCTGAATCTCTATCACAGACTATTACTCACGCTGTACTTGGGGCACAAAAGTCGACCCAACCGGTCACTACCCAGGCTTTGCCTGCAGTAACCCCTTCACAACCTCACACTGGCCGCAAGGCCACTGCAAAAAACTAAACACTCTTCAATCTCACAGATGGACAGCTACACACCTGTCACGGATGGCGCGCCTAATATACCACTGCGCAAAAGAGCCACTAGCCGGGCAAAATCGGCTAGGTTATGGAAGCGGGCAAAAGCCCAACTAGAATCTGAGTCAGATCTCAGCGAGATTGAAGAGGGCACTGATATGGATTCGGAGGATCCATCAGATCCCCAATCAGAGGGTGTGGTCGACGACCATGACCCGAGTGCACATATTACACCTCCATCTGAGTCGTATGACATGGAGCTTAAAGTCCCAGACGATGCCACCAGATTAGTTGACCCCTACGGGGAACCTCTGTTCGACCCCGATGACCTACGTCATCCAAGGTCAGCAGACTGGTCACCTTCGGCCCATGTGGCCAAATATGTGGCATCGCGGACTCGCAAACCTTTAAATAAGGTGACACGAAGCAAACTGCGGGCAGAATGCCCACGCCCCACTGTCCCTGACGAGGCCTGCAGAACACCTGCAGTTGACCCGAAAATCATTCAATTCTTGGGCAAGACTGGCTGGAAGCCTAATAAGGGCCTTGATTTCTCCCTGCGCAATTGCCAGGACAAGATATTAGACATATTGGGCCCGGCAACAAAATTTTTTGATATGGTCGAAAGTGACCAAGAATTAGATCGTTCCGCCATAAGTGGTTGGATACAAAGAGTGATTTGTATGATTGGCAATGCCAACTGTGCGGTGGCCACAAAACGTTGCAAAGCGATCTTATTAAAGATAGAACCAAAACTGGTGAACATGGCTATAACCGAACCGGGCGCCCAGGCCCGTGGCCTCCTGTTCGGAGACAACTTTGTCAAGGAGCTTGGCTCCTTTGTCCATACTTTCACTGCCCTAGACAAGGCGCAATCAAACATGCGCAAGATTTTCCAACCTAAGGTTTTTGGTGGGGCCGGAAGAGCCAGGAGCCGTCTGTCCGGCCGTGTCAATAGGGGTTCGTTCCGACAGAGCCGAGGCTCCTACACTGGACATGCCTCCTTCACGGAGCACCGCAACACCCCGGCTTTCTTCCCACAACGTGGGCGACCATGGGTGGCTCGTAGACCACGTGGCTCCCGCCCAGGCAGACGACCTTATGGTAAGTGCTCTCCTATTTCCTTCTTCCCTATGGGCAGTGGGGGGCAGACTCCGACATTTTTGGTCACACACATCTCGTCAGATGCTTGGGTACTGAACACGGTAAGAGGGTACACCTTAGAGCTCATATCCCTCCCGATACAACTCTCCCCGCCACGGGGAATGCTGTTTTCTCACCAAGACGCCTCCCTTGTAACCAAGGAGGTTTCGGAATTGGCACACAAACAGGCCATCTTAGAGATCCCTATGGCTACCCCAGGGTACGTAAGCAACGTATTCTTAGTTGCCAAAAAAGGCGGCGGCGTCCGCCCAGTTATCAACTTGAAACAACTCAACACTTTCGTGGCCTACAACCACTTAAAAATGGAGGGCATACACTGCCTCCGAGATCTCCTCCAACCGTTTGACTGGATGGTCAAGTTAGACCTGCAGGACGCCTATCTCACGATACCAATCGCACGTCAGCACCAGGACTTCCTCCAATTCATATGGCAAGGAAGGAAATGGAGATTCACCTGTCTCCCTCTCGGTCTGTCCTCAGCCCCATGGTGTTTCACCAAACTTATGAAGCCCGTGGTGGCTCTACTTCGAAGTCGAGGGGTTCGTCTCATAATCTACTTGGACGACATCCTTATCATGGGTCGTTCCAACCACATTCTCGACACCCATCTGTCATGGACTCAGACTCTTTTGCAAAATTTAGGTTTCCTTATCAATTGGAAAAAATCCATCCTGACCCCTACACGACACATAGAGTTTTTGGGCCTCATAGTGGACTCCACTCTACAGACCCTACAACTGCCGGCGGCAAAATTGATCACCATGAAGAAGGAAATCAGGCGTACTCTGATGACCCCCCTGATCTCCCTAAAACAATTGGCGAGAGTGGTCGGCCTCTTGGCGGCTTCCATACAGGCCATTTTCCCGGGCCCTTTAAACTATCGAGCGCTACAGCGCCTACAAGCCTGAGAGACAGGACCGCA